TTCCTCTTTCAAAAAGGTCATTAGCTTCGTCCTGGCCCTGCTAACCTGTGAACCTATATATTCATGCTTTTCAAGCATTTCTCCCGAGAGAAAATATTCTGAGTAGGAAAGGTTAATAAGAAGCTTAGGATGTGATTTTTTCTTTGCTAAAATCCTGAAGGACAAGACTATTTTCAGAACACTATTCAAATTCTTCTCCCAGATAATGTCCAATATTTGTACTCATTCACAATAATTCCCTTTCTAACTGCTGCTAGGCTGCAAAGATCTCTTATTCAGTGTTGGGGTGTGAGACAATGTTTGTGTTTTTATTTAGAGACACTGAAAATCAATGTGATCACTCAAAGAGTTCTTCTGCCTTTGGCGTGGCTTTCTGTGGGACAACCTGGTTCAAAAAATATCCTTAAAAAATATCCTTCATACCTGGTTTCCAGGCTGGACTTATTTTTGTTGTGATAACTCGCTTCTCTTTGTCACTCAAAGACACAGCATGGGTCATTTGCATCATGATCAGGATGACCACAGCTGTAGCTTTTAGGGATGGTGAGCTATCCCATACCTTTGGGACAATCATCTGGTCCTTCCTACTCACCTTCACAAACCTCTTGCTCTGTTGGACCTCAGGTTCACAGGATTAGATTAGTTCTAATCCTTTGTGACACACTCTTAACCACTATTCCTACTGTCTGGATTTTTGTTTTGAGAGCAACCTGACCTCGATCTCTACCCTGTGGAAGACCATGTTAATGATCACCTACTCTAATAACAACTTATTGTGATGCTCATGCCCATTTTTGGAGAAACTATTTAGCCAATAAGTGTATTTCTCTGAGGATGAACAGAATGTTGTTTTTTTGTTTTGTTTTGTTTTTGCTTAATAAAACCCTTATTTATTTGGACTTATCTAATACATACCAGGAGCATGCATTATAAACACGCTTATATACTTTTATAAAGAAAGAATAAAAGCAGATATATTGAAGAAACAGAATTAAAAATTTACAGCAGTTACCAAATTTCAGTACCATCTTTCTCACTTGTTTTGATAATATTTGAAAAATATTTTTCAAGATGTACAACATAGCAATTTGACCACTCAATACTCATGCTGTGCTTACTACAAATGTAGTAGTAGCTCCCATCTGTCACCATGCAATGCAGTTACAATACCACTGACTGTGTTCCTATGCTGTACCTTTCATTCCTGTGACTTATTCATTCTACAACTGGAAGCCTGTATCTCTTATTCCCCTTTACTCATGTCTCCTCACTACATTCCCCTCTGGCAACCATCAGTTTGTTCTCTGTATTTAAGGGTCTGTTTCTGTTTTTGTTTGTTCATTTGTTTTGTTTTTTGGATTCCACAAATTTGGATTCCAAATTTGGATTTGGATTCAAATCATATGCTATTTCCGTCTAACTTATTTCATTTAGCAAAATACCCTCTAGGTCCATCAATGCTGTTGCAAATAGTAAGATATCTCGTCCTTTTTATGGCTGAGTAATATTCCATCATATATAATGGAATGTGATATATATACACATATATATGTATAAATATACCACATCTTTATCCATTCATCGATGGACAGTTAGATTGCTTCCATATCTTGGCTATTGTAAATAATGCTGTAATAAACATAATAAACATAGGGGCGCATTTATCTTTTCCAATTAATTCATTTTCTTTGGGTAAATACCCAGTAGTGGAATTACTGGATCATATAGTATTCTTATTTTTTTAGTTTTTGAGGGAATTCCTACTATTTTCCACAGTGACTGCACCAGTTTCATTCCTGCAAACAGGGCACAAGGGTTCTTTTTTGCCACATCCTTGCCAACACCTGCTATTTCCTTTCTTCTTCATTTTAGCCATTCTGACAGGTGTGAGGTGATATCTCACTACAGGTTTGATTTGTATTTCCCTGATAATTAGTGATGTTGAGCATCTTCTCATGTCTTTGCTGGCCATTTGTATAGTCTTCCTTGGAGAAATGTGTTTCTATCTTGTCCCACTTTTAACTGGATTTTTTTGTTTTTTGTGTGTGTGTGTGTTTTGGGTTGTGTAAGTTCTTTATATATATTTTGGACATTAACCCCTTATTGGATATATCACTTGCAAATATCTTTTCCCACTCAGTAGATTGTTTTTTCATTTTGTCGATGGTTTGCTATGCAAATAGAATACTGTTTCTTCAATGTCTATTCCATGGTGGTAATTTTTTAAGGGCTTTATAGGCAGTAGCCCACTTATCCCCACAATCTCTTCTGAAGTAGTTATTGTCCCTACTGTATAGGGACAATTGTATTGTACAGATAAGAAAACTGAGATTCAGAAGGGTTGAAGTACTTTGTCCAAAACTTACATTATTTGTAAATGCCACTAACAGGATATAAAATCCAGGAACCATTGAATTTGGAATGCATGCTTAAAGCCACAAATGACCTCTTTCCCTAATTCTCCTTCTCCAGATGCAAGGTAGATGGGATACCTTATTTAAGGTCCTTACTCAAGCTATTTCCCCTATAAACCTGACCATAACTAACTTACTTCTCCATGCCCCAGGAAAATCAAGCCATCATAGACATCAAGGTCATAGTGCAAAGCTTTAAGAGGTTTCTCCTTTCTGGAGAAACCAGGTTTGCTGTTTGGTATGATTCCACCTGAGTGCCAGAATTTGCTCTGCGAGTCTCACTGGACACTGTCCTGCTTAAATAGCAAGACTCTGTCACAACTTCAGAATTTGCAAGAATGTGAACAGGATTTTTTAAATAGCTACATGATAAACCCATGTAGTAAGAGTAGTACAGTTAGCAATTTTTTTAAACTATAAATATCAATGTCCCTGCTGAAATCAAACTTGTTCAGACTGTCTTTATTAAACTGTAGTTTGAGTCCAGTTGAGAAAATTCTAATTTTTTTTCCAGTTTTATTGATATAATTGACATACAGCACTGTTTAAGTGTACAGTATGAACAACCTATACAGTGAAATGGACACCACAGTTAACATCTAAAAAGAAAGTCGTTATTTACCAGAGATAAAGCAGTTATTTCACTGGAGAAAATGTAATATAAATAATTAAGAAGGTACTGGAAGACTAAGCACGTAAGAAGACAGAACTACCATGATTCAGACCTTACAGGAATGAAGGGTTAACATCCAACCAGGTAAAGAGCTCTGATCAGCTGATATCCCTGCTTGGGGTGGGGGTTAGGCAGGTAGTGGTGGTAGGGCTGAGTAGAAGAGACGAAGCTTAATAACAAACACAACTATTTCATAGTAATGTATTTATATTTGTGTCACTGAATAAGAAAATACTTATTTCTCGAGAATAAGGAAAAAGGCCATCTCAGATTATTAACAATATTCAAAGCCCTAGGTACTGAGTTAACTTAGATATTCTATTTTTAAAATTTATTTATTTTGAGAGACAGAGAGAGTGAGCGGGGGAGGGGCAGAGAGTATCCCAAGCACCCGGTGTGTGGAGCCTGACACGGGCCTCGAACTCAAGAACTGTGAGTTCATGACCTGAGCAAAAACCAAGAATTGGACACTTAACCAACTGAGCCACCCAGGCGCTCCAACTTTGTTAGGTATTTTAAAAGATAGTGTCTCTGGGGGCGCCTGGGTGGCTTAGTCGGTTAAGCGTCCGACTTTCGCTTTGGTCATGATCTTGCGGTTCGTGGGTTCGAGTCCCTCGTCGGGCTCTGTTCTGACTGCCTGCTCTGAGCCTGGAGCCTTTTTCAGTCTGTGACTCCCTCTCTCTCTGACCCTGCCCTGCTCACGCTGTCTCTCTCTCTCTCTCTCCTAGAAATAAATAAAAACATTTAAAAAAAAAAAAAGATAGTGTCTCTGAACAACAGTCAGTATATACACAGTGTCAGCTCAGGGTCCTTACCCGTCAACATCTCTGTTTTATGGCTTTACAATGTGGCATGTTGGGACCTCAACAGTGAAACTTAGAGGAGACTGGCTCCCAAGAAGGTAGGCTGGTACCCAGATAAAAAGACATGCCAACTTAAGAGGAGAGTTTCTGAACTATGGTAATATTTGGTGGTAGGTAGGTCATGGAGCCTTGACTATAGGGAGGTCCATTCATTTTGAATTAGGGCTTGTCATCAGTTTAGAGCACAGAGGATAGGGTTTATCCAGCAGGAGACCCAAGTTAATGACCTGGGGACCAGGGCTATGGTCTTAGGGAAAACAAGCTCAAATTAAGGATACAGAGGCAGGCTGTTATTTGATAGACACGGGTATCGAGGAGCCCACCAGGGAACACATGGTAGCCTTAGGGGCAAAGAATAAATCCAGCCCTTAATAAATCCATCTACTCCATATACTAGCAGAGTACTAAGTAATGTCAGTTGGGTTCTTAATGGTTGAAGGATATGACTGGGTTGACCCTATACCAGGTCTTGAGTACTTATCACTAGACATGTTTGGTGAAGGCGGGGACCTAGAGTTGTTCCTTTGGTAAAATTGGCATCATCATGTCTTGACAGTGCTTCTCCTGTTCCTCTGACAGACACTAAATAATTTTGTTAGGGTGCTATCTTACTGGCCTGCTGAGTGGTAGATGATATCTCTTAAGGTGTATAGCAATTGGGCAGAAATGAATGGGAAGAAAATGAGGGAAGGTAAATGTGAGAAGCCAAGCAATCAGAAAATGTGAAATTTCTAATAACTTTATCCTTGGAGACTTATTGGAGATATTTTAGAATTTTCAGCACTGACATAATTCAAAGCCAGAGCACCGGGAATTTTCCACTTATGGCGTATCTTGAAGAGTTAGAATGGGGTCTCAAATTTTTTACTCAGTGAGATTATGGACATTGATCTAACACCCACAAGATTAAAAAAATTTACTCAGAGAAATCATGATAATAATTCTGTCTTCAGAATTTCTGGAGAAATCAACCTCCAAATGCTATAGTTCACTCATCTTTAAGGTTAAAAATATCACTTAATTTAAATAAGGACAATTCTGACCAAATTGGATAGCTTGCATCAGTAAGAAAGTTTATTGGAATTCATCAGTGAATGAGAATAGAAAGGTTTTTTTTTTCTTTTTTCCATTAAAGAACACTTTCTGGTAAAGTGAAAAGAAATACAGAAACCACAAAACACCTTTTAGACACCTTATTTTCAAGGAGTGAACCTATTTCCATAGACCATTAAGACTGAAGTGTTTTCTCCATGACTTTGTTCTTCATGCATCGGTACATAAATGGTCTGTGTGAAGGGAGACCCTTTCCTCTTGATGCGGCTTAATAGTAGTGTTTCTTGGTTTCTGATTCAACCATAGATGAAAGGACTCTACCATCAGGTGCCACCTCTTCAATGATTGTCTTGATTACTCTGGTTTTGTTAGAATCTGCACATAAATTATGGGGGGAAAAACAGAATTTAGACTAAGCAATTTGTGGGGCTTCTACTAATTAATAAAAATTTCTAAAGAAAAACATACTGAACTCAAAAAATTCATTTTTTATGTTTTTTGTTTGTGTTTTTAGATCCTAATAGTATTTAAACTACAGCATCTTGGACCATGACAGTTTTCGTTCAAGATGGATGTCAAGAGTAGTTTGCTTAAAAAAAAAAAAAAAAAAAAAAAATCCAAGCAGAAATTTTCTCTAAGATTTGAATTTTTTAAAAGTTTTAGAAAGCAACAAAATCTTCACGGAAAGTTAAAACTAATTCTGATTACCCCAGCTAGTTTCTGCTGACCTTGGTCCCTTGGAAGAGGGTTCCCCGACGGACCCAGAAGACGAGGACTTGTGACCGCCGGAGCCGCCGCCGTAGCCGCCGCCGCCGGAACTGCCGCCGTGGCCGCCGCCGCCGCCGGAGCTGCCGCCCCCGTAGCCGCCGCCGGAACTGCCGCCGTGGCCGCCCCCGTGGCCGCCGGAACTTCCGCCATAGCCGCCGCCGGAACTTCCGCCGCCGCGCCCGCCGCCGTAGCCGCCGCCGCCGGAACTACCGGGAGTGAGGGTCACGTTCGGTTAACTCTAACTTTGAAAAATGGTGGGTCGCCTTCGAGGTTATCGTTACTTTAAAAATAAGCAAAACGTGTTTCGAGAGGGAAAAAGAAATGCCTGTCGAGTATGGATTCTCAGGCCCACCCACTACTTAAAAACAGTTTTATATGCACACAACCTTCAGAATCCAATCCATGGGAAACTCAGGCTGTGGCTGTATACGCCTCTCTCTGTACCCTGCTTTCTCCCTTCTCCTCCCTTTCTCCCATCCTCCGGCACTTCTTTGGGTTTTGGAAAAGCCCGGCGATTTAGAAACTGAATAAGACCAATTGGGATAAATCTTAAGATTTTTATAATTTACCTTCCTTCTCCTTCTAGCAGGCTTCGGTAGGTTTGAATTTCATTCTCCAGTCGGATCTTAATATCCAGGAGCTGTTGGTACTCAGCGTTCTGGCACTCGGTCTCGGCCCGAATCTGTTGCAGTTGTTCCTCCAGAGAGGAGATCTGGGCCTGAATCTGGGAGAGCTGCATACAGTAGCGGCCTTCTGTTTCTGCCAAGGAGGCTTCCAGGGATTGTTTCTGAAAAGAGGAGAGAATATACGGTGGCTTAGCGACCTTATTATTTAATGGAATGAAGATTATTTCATAATTGAATAAGTCATCAAATAGAAGAATACAGGAAATGAATAGAATTTGTGTTTTATGTTTAATGGCAACTTCAGCACGTTTAGAGCAATGCCACTAAGACTTCTCCCATTAACCAAGAGCTCCAATTTTCTTTCTCCTTTCTTACTCTCTCTTTTGTTCCTGTGTTGCATATTCTTACGTGAGCGTGATACTCTGTAGTTAAAGTTGAAGTTATTTCAGGAGAGAGTTATTAACGTACCAGGGCTAGTTGGGACTGTAGTTCGATTTCCAGACCTTGAACCGTGCGTCTCAGTTCAGTAATCTCAGATTTGTGGCTGGACATTTGTTCAATGTTACTGTTGATTTCTGTAGTGAGTTCTTTGCTCTAGAGTATTAACAACAGAAGAAAAGATGAGAAAAGTCTGAAATGATAACCAAACGTCCACTGGGCCCGCTATGAAGGAAGGTGAATTAACCTTTTCGTTGAACCAGGCTTCGGCGTCTTTGCGGTTTTGTTCAGCAAGCTGTTCATACTGGTTTCTCATGTTATTCAGAAGTTCAGTCAGATCAACACCAGGGGCAGCATTCATTTCTACATTTACATCACCAGTGGACACATTTTGAAGGTCTTTCATTTCCTGTTAGAGGAACAGAAAAATTTAATGATTGTATCATGACCCCATGAACCCCTTTTTTTGGCTGCGGGACGTCTAACTTTTTGCATCACCTCTTCGTGATTCTTCTTCAGGTAGGCCAGCTCTTCAGTCAGGCTCTCGATCTGCATCTCCAGGTCAGCCTTAGTCAGGGTCAGTTCATCCAGCACCCTGCGCAGGCCGTTGATGTCGGCCTCCACGCTCTGGCGCAGGGCTACCTCGTTCTCATACCTGAAACAAGCATGGTACAAATGCTGGATACAACTTACATATGGGAGATGTTCCTGGGCTGAGACTGTTTTAGAAGCAAATACAGAGTTGGCTTCATATCATGGCAACCTTTATTGCATACTAGTTCATAGGGGATATAGGGGTATTAGTGGCTTAATGCAAAGAAGCTTAGCAGTTTACTTTAAAATGCATTTTCTTCTTTTAAGAAAAGAAGGTAATATTGCCAGGAAGGTAATATTGAAATTGAAAAATTTTCAGACAACTCCAATACTATTTAACTTTGAATGAATTCAAGAAAATGTCAATGCTATTGTGGGCATCCAAAGCCACTGTTAAAAACAACTACTGTATTTGTTGTGACGGCGTTGTGCCGTGTTCACTGAGCTTACTTTAATCTGAAGTCATCAGCTGCCAGCCTGGCATTGTCGATCTGAAGCAGGATATTGGCATTATCAGTTGTTAGATTGAGGATCTGGAGGGAGAGGCAGAAAACAGATACAGATATGCCACTATAAAACCAGGTAGTATAGAGAGATGAGCTGCATTTTTATGTTGTTCTCTTACAAAATCTTGGGGGATTTTTAAAAATCTTAAATATTAATAATTAAAATATAATTAATTTAAAATCATATACTCAAATTTGAGTCTTTTGTTCTCTTAAAGTTTCTATACATTTCTACTTCTGTATCATCTTTTTCTGAAAACTAACTGCAATTTTATAGCTCTGTTCTTGCATGTCCCTCTCCCTGCCACTTTATACTGTGTGATTTTCCTGTATTTCAGTGAACTTTTGACTGACTCGTACCTTTTGGTTTAACTTGTTTTAAGTGTACATTCTAAGTGAATACACTCTAGGCTGACACACAGTAGGTACAATTCACGAATTCTCTAGAGGCAAACAGTATCCCATTTTTATACTGGAGAATTCATGTTACTTGTATGTAATGTTGATAATATCTTTTCATTATCAATCTGAATACTGTCTTGTTCTGATTCCTTTAATAATTCTTTCAGTTCCTGTATTTGTAAATGACCCAGTATTTTAACTATGAACTCGTACACTCATTAAATCATAAAAAAATTCTCAGTAATCCATCATCTGATAAGGTATACACCACATGTTGAAGATTTCAATGACCTCACAAATATTTACCTTTGAGGAGACTGGATTATTTTTGGAAGCAAGAAAGTAACACAGGTAAACACAGTGATAGCTACATCGTGGTTAATGTAAGATTCACATATCTGAATTACATGGATACAAAATAGGCTTAAAGTTGTATTTTTAAGATGCACCTTACCTGATTTTTAAGATCGTCGATGGTTTGGTAGTATTTGCTGTAGTCACGAGGCTCTCTCTGGCCTGAGCCGCCATGCTTTTCATACCATTCCTTGATTTTGCCTTCTAGCTCATAGTTTGACTCTTCCAGAGCCCGCACTTTGTCCAAGTAGGAAGCCAGGCGGTCATTCAGATTCTGCATGGTTACTTTTTCATTTCCAGAGAGAAGGCCACCATCTCCTCCAAATCCACCCCCAAAGCCTCCAAAGCTGCCTCCACTGAAGCTGCCCCCACCGAAACCGCCCCCACCGAAGCTGCCCCCTCCAAAGCTGCCCCCTCCATAGCCCCCACCAAAGCTACTGCTTCCATAGCCTCCACCAAAGCTTCCTCCACCAAAGCCGCCTCCTAATCCTCCTCCATAGCCACCTGATGAGCCCCCAAAGCAGCCTCCACCAGAGCTCCCACGACTAAAAGAGCCACCACTGAACCCCCCTGAGCTAAATCCTCCACCAATGGAGCCTTTGCTGCTTGAAATTCTGAAGGATGACCCTCCTCCTCCTCCTCCTCCTCCTCCCCCGCTGCGGGAGGAAGAGTACTGCTTGCTTGAGCTGTATCTAACAGACATGGTGATGCTGTTTAGCTCAGGGAGTGCTTGCTACCAAGGACAGTGACAGGCTTTTATACACCAAGAGGGTGTGTCCCACATGTGTTAGAGTGTGCTTACTTGCATGGTTTTCTTTTTGCCAATTTAGCATCTTTACTTATGATTGCATAAATTATCTTCAGTAATAACCAATTCCAATATGTATGGTTTTGAATTTGCCCTAAGAACAAACAGGAGTTTTGCTGTGTTGAAATTGAAAATGGGTGTAGTTCAGATGAGCTTGTTTCATTATGCTTTTTTACCTTTTGAAGAATATTGAGCAACTTAAATCCAGTTTTTTCTCAGCACTAATTTAGGTTGCACAGGATGTATGCAAAGTTTGGAAAAAGAATTTTGTCTACAAAATTATTGTTAAAAGTAAGATTTTTCAAATTCATGTTTTAAACAGTTTTAATCAATTGGAAAAACAACTAACATAAGTCTGCCAGAGTCATGCTCCAATGGGGATCTTGTAGAAAACTGTAAGCAGACCAAAAAGAAAAGAAAAAAAAACCTAAACAATTTAATTAGTGTTCAAAAGTTGCCACATATAAAAAATTAAAGCCATAAAAAAAAATAGGAAGTGTGTGTGTGTGTGTGTGTGTGCACGCGTGTGCGTGTGTGTGTGTGTATTTATAGAGAATCTTTTAATTTGGAGAATGAAAGTATAGTGGTACTTTGCTTAGGGAGTTGGAAGTGAGTAATGACTTAGGAATCTGCTAATTTAATGGTGCTGTTCTTTTTAACCTTATATATATATATATATTTTTTTTAATTTTTCTTTAATGGTTTTTTTATTTATTTATTTCTAGGAGAGAGAGAGACAGCGTGAGCAGGGGAGGGTCAGAGAGAGAGAGAGGGAGTCACAGACTGAAGCAGGCTCCAGGCTCTGAGCTGGCAGTCAGCACAGAGCCCGACGCGGGGCTCGAACCCACGAACCGCGAGATCATGACCCAAGCGAAAGTCGACGCTTAACCGACTAAGCCACCCAGGCGCCCCTAACCTTATATATATTTTTAAGTTTATTTTGAGAGAGAGAGAAAGAGAGCTCATGTGCATGCATGAGCAGGGGAGGAGCAGGGTGGGGAGGAGAAGGAGGGAAAGAGAGACTCTCACGCAGGCTCCATGCTGTCTGCATGGAGCCCAACACAGGGCTCAATACTACAGACTGCAAGAAAACGACATGAGCTGAAACCATGAAGTTGGACCCTTAACTGATTGAGCCACCCAGGCACCCCTTCTTTTTAACCTTAAGAAAAATCATGAAGTGATTCTGGATTTTATTGACTTTTAAATTCATCATAGTGAAGGCAGACTTGAAGACCATAATGTAGAAATATTAGCACAATATCTTAGCACAATATATGAAAAACTAACATCCAGTACTTTCTTTACTCTAAATTTGATTGATCCCCAAAGGGAGAGTTAAGTTATATTGTAATTGTGATTAAGAATTTGCTTACAGGAATATAAATCCAGATTAAAGAATAATACTTGCTCCAAAAATTATGATCTGGACTGTGAACATGTGTTTCCAAGCTAGATTCTATTTCTTAAAAAAAATTTTTTTCCCTTGGACACTCTGTGTGTAGAATTTGGTGTAACAGTTTGTCTAGTGAAGTATTTAATTGGGACTTTAATACATGATGTAAAATTATTTTTTGTCTACCCATAGGCTATGACAAGTCTATTCAAAAATATATTCATGTGTATTACACACACACACACACACACATTTTATAAGTTCACAGTGCCATTTATAATCCTGTAATTTTATAATCTTTGAAACAAGCTGCTGAAATAAGGATGGTGGTTATCTCTAGTGTATGAAAGAGGAAGTTGAAGCTGAGAGAGCCTATGATGTCACTTAACAAAATGAAATAGGTGGTTGAACTGAGATCAGAAACTTAGTCTTTTGATGCCTGACTTTTGGCTCTTTCCTATGCTACCAGTCTGTCTATGTCCTCTCTCCTGTGGTTGGTCTGATCGAATAGAATGCCTCTGTTTCTCACCATAAACTTCTCCATGTGGGAGAAAACAAAACAAAAAGTCCTTGGAAGTATGAATGTGTTGAGATGGCAGGGTATTTGGCACATGCTCTTCTATTACCAATTGCTTTTTCCTATTAGATGTGCAGCTGCACAGCCTATGAAAACTGTAGAAATAGTTTCTTCGGGGAAGGGGAATGTGGCTGGGAGTGTTAGTGTAGAGCTGATTGTCGGAGGTAATGGTTACTACCCAGCACGTTGCGGCTGCTCCAGCTTGTTAGCACATGCAAGTGGGGCAGTAGTTAAAAGAAATAATGAAACCCAACCATGGGAATTGATCCTTGATGAAGATAGCCCGCGGTAGAGGAAGGCTGTAAAAATCAGGATAGAGAAAACAAAAAAACAGTAAGTTCAGAGCGGATCTTGAAGCCTTGATATTAATGGAAGTGATTTGGAAAGAAACCATTTTAATTAAAGAGAGATTCTGATTAGGAGGAACTTAATTGAGGACCATGGGGGAGAAGAAGAGGGGAAATGGTGGGGGAAAGGGAGAGAGGCAAACCATGAGAGACTCTTGAATGCCGAGAACAAACTGAGGACTGATGGATGTGGGGGGGGGAGGGGGGAGATGGGCATGGAGGAGGGCACTTGTGGGGATGAGCACTGGGTGTTATATGGAAACCAATTTGACAATAAACTTTGTAAAAAAAAAAGATTCTGATAGATTTTACCTGTAATTATCACGAATTTTGATCTTGATCTTACCAGTTTTGCTTCAGTATTAGCTTTTACTTTTTTTTTTTTTTTTAACCCTGGTGGGGAAATTTTAACTATTTTCAGTTATTTAACAAATGCAAGTGGTATGAAGAAATCTGTTACACTCATATTAAATAGTACGTGAAAGGAAACCTTTGCATAAAAGTACATGGGGACAAATAGATGTATAGAAACGCTTCTAATACGAGCTATAACATTTAATTTAAACCACCTTTAACTAAATCTGTTATTGAAGCCCACTTATTAACCTGTATATTGTAGAAATTGATTTGTTTTTATTTGCAGTGTCATTTGTTGAAATCTGCGTTGGGCATGAGTGACATTACAGAGGTGCCATGTAACAATTCTATAGCTAAATTGGATGAAAATTTGGGACCATCAATTCTAATCTTGGCACCATTTACACTTGATTGCCATAATCCACTGTAACTGTAATTTCATTGTTTTTGGTTTTTATTGTGTCTCTGTAGGGCACATGGATAGGTATTTAGGAGACAGAGAGACAGTGAGATTCAGCTCTTGCCCTTAAGGATTTTACTAGTCCTTACAATCTAATTGAGGAGACAAAACAAACATTATCAACCTAAGCACCATGTAAATGGTAAATAAAGTGAAAAGGAGGTGGGGTGGGGAAAAGGAGTTAACATTTCCTAAACATCTACTATGTCCTAGATGGTTTACTCTCCTGTAATCCTCCCCAAATTCTCTCTGATTGGTGTTATTTACCTCATTTTATAGCTGAAAAAAAAAAAAAAGAAGCTTTAGAAAGCTTTAGGGATTGTCAGAGTAGCACAGGCAGTTTACGCTAGAGCCTGGTTTTGAATCAGCTTCAAAGATGATCCTGTATTCATGACAGGATCTGTCATGAAAGACTGTCGTTGTAAGACTGATGAGCAAAGGGTCGTCTGACAACGTTTCATGTGCCTGTGGAATTTAAGCTGAGTCTTGCAAAGGGTGGGTAGAATTCTTCCATGCACGCAGCAGCAGAGAGAGAGGAGTCTTCTGGGAAGTGGGGACTATGAAATTGCCAAACAGGTGGAGACTCTTAATGGACCAGTTTGGCTAGATCAGATTATCTATATTTATTAATTTCTTTTAACAGATTTTATTGGGCACCTGCAATATTCCCTGGGGATACATAGGTGACTAAGACAATTCCTGCCCCGTAAGGAATTTGCACTCTACTTGGAGAGGCAAGCAAACATACCCACAAGTCGGAGGTTATAATATAGGGGACTCTGGGCTATACTTGAGGCATGGCCAGGGTGTTGAAGTAGTGCAGAGAGGGGTTCTAACAATCTGGTGTGTATGTGTGTGATGTGCAAGAGGGCAAATGAAAGAGGAATGAAGTTTTGAGAAGTTAGTTTGTTTTAAGATGGGAATTTGAAGTAATACCAGGATATTGAGGTAAAAATGTCTTTCAGCAGTTAGAATCATAGGACTCCAGTTCAGGAGAGAGATTAGAGCTGCAGACTTCAGAATAGGTAAGATCCCTAAGGGAAGGAATTGAGAAAGAAATGAGCGGAAGGTCTAAGCCTGAACTTTGAGAGATGACCACTTTAGGGGCTGGGAAGAAGAGCTAGAGAATAATACTGAAAAGGAGGGCACCTGTGACGGGGGAATAGAGGAAGAAGGAACATGGAAACCAAGGGAGGAGGGAACCCAGATAAGTAGGCTCGTATCCAGAGAGATCAAGGAGAAAGGAGAATGAAGAGAAACTTGATTTGGCAGTTAAGAGCCGCTGGCATCCTTCCATAGGAGAGGTTTAGTGGAGTTGTGGTAGGGTAGTCTACAGTGTATACTCAATATCAGAATTGATCACTTTGCTTACTGTATTTTGTTTTCATGTAGTCCAGTGTATTAATTTCCTCTTTAATTCCTTCTGGATTTGGGGTCATGGTTAAGGCTGGTAAACACTATTCTCATGGGTTTAGTTTGGCTGAGGCTCTTGAGGCATGTTGTTGATTCAGCTTTGTTATCAGCTTGACTTGTCTCACTGTTGGGATTTTTGGACCTTTCCTCTTTCTTCCTTATTTTTCTTCAAGTAAAATTCTCTTTTGAAGTTTCTTTTTGAAAATTCTATTCGCAAGTTTCTGTCTCTGATTAGTTGAGATATAATAAGTAATTTAAGTAGTTACAGAAAGATGACTCTTTTAATGCAGATTCTGTCTCAAGATGGAAGGATTAATGAGCTAAACAGAATTTTCTGTTGTTTAT